GGGCCCGAAGGGAGGGTCCCACACAAAGGAGGGCCGGAAGGGAGGGCCCAAGGAAGGGTCCCACGCTAATGTGATTGCGGATCAGTCAAGATTGTTGTCAATATATCGATGTATTTCCTTCAGGTATGTTTTGGCTCATATTTAAGTTTTATACTTGAAATTATATCCTATACATAGTTTTATATATATATATATAAGTAAACGGAATCCCAGAAAAAGAACAGAGAGAGTGGGCAGTATATCTATACCTATATCTGTCTGTCTATATATTTATGTGCGTATGTGTATATATGTTTGAAGAAATAATGACCAGAAATGTCTCCAGTTTGGGAAAAATTATAATTATAGATTCAAGAATCTCAGCGAATTCCAAGCAGGATAAATACAAAAAAAACCACACCAAGGCATATTCTGGTCAGATTGTTGTACACCAAAGCTAAAGAGAAAACTTTAAAAGCAGTCTAAGATAAAAAGCACATTACATATAAGAAACAATTAGATTATTGTGGACTTCTCAACAGAAAAAATGGTGATCAGAAAACATTGGAACAATACTTTTGAAGTGCTTTTAAAAAATTGTCAACTCTGAATTCTGTGAACAGTGAACATAGCCCTCAAAAATAATAGCAAACGAAGACATTTTCATTAAAGAAAAAAAAATCCAACAACTTATTGCCAGTAGATCTGCACTATAAGAAATGCTAAAAGAAATATGTCAGGTGGAAGGGAAATGATATCCACTAAGACCTTGAACCTTGAAAAAGGAGTGGGCAGGATGAGGAATGGCAAACATGTGGATAAATATAAAATATTATTTTTCCTTTTTGAAAAATACATGTGACTGCTTAAAGCCAAAAATACAGTATGGGATTTGTAACATATATAGATGTAATATATATGACACCTCTAGGATAAAGGATGGGTGTTAGGAGTACATGGACCATTGCAAGATGCATATGTTTTATGTAAAGTGGCACAGTACTAATTCTAGGTAGGCATTGAAATCTTGAGGGTATATTTCATAATTTCTAAAGCAACCATTAAAAATATAATGCAAAAGATAGAACCAAAAATCCAGTATATAAATGAAAATGAATTTCTTAAAAAATTAATGTATTTAGGCAGGAAAGGGGTGAATAGAGGGGAAGAAGGGGGGACAAACAAATATAATATAAAAGACCCAAATCCAGACATAGCAATAATGCCACTAAATGTTAATGGATAAAACACTCCAATTAGGGCGCCTGGGTGGCTCAGTCGTTAAGCGTCTGCCTTCAGCTCAGGTCATGATCCCAGGGTCCTGGGATCGAGTCCCACATCGGGCTCCCTGCTCGGCGGGAAGCCTGCTTCTCCCTCTCCCACTCCCCCTGCTTGTGTTCCTGCTCTATCTCTCTCTGTGTCAAATAAATAGATGAAATCTTAAAAAAAATAAAATAAAATAAAAACACTCCAATTAAAACACACAGATTGTCGAAATGGATTTTTAAAAAAGCACTCAACCATATGCCTTATATATTTTTTTAGTATATATTTTTGTATATGTGCTGTTGAAGCAAGCACAAGAGATATATTTTTAAATAGTGACACAAATAAGTTGAAAGGAATAAGACATAAAATAAAAGATATGTGGTACAAACAGTACGTACAAGAAAGCCAGAGTGGTTGTATTCATATCATACAAAGTAGACTTAAGGACAAAGGCTATGACCAGAGATCTTAAGGTGAGATACCAGCTTCTCTAAAGGTCCCTCCAGTGATGGGGTTTCCTATGCCCACAGCATCCTGGTCATCTTCTGTCAAAGACACTCCATGTTACTTCAGTTTTCCTTTGTGGAGCTAAAAACCAAATGTGAGATTCCAAGTGGAGTCAGGCCAGCAAGTGAAGGTTTTTCACCTTGCTGAGCATGGTGTTACATGGCTGTTGGGGCGGCCTATAGCAGCCATATACCATGTGTCTTTTGGAAGGGAAGAAGGGAGAGGAGGAAGGACGGGAAAATTATTTTTCCCAGTGAAAAACAGTTGCATGTATCATATTTGCATAATGATTTATTCTTTTCGACATAAACTTAAAGTTTAGGGAATTTCTACATGTGTTTTTGGAATACTCATCCCACAAATAAGCAGTTTCCTCTGAGACTTCTTCAGAATTCAAGACAGAAAGTATTGGCCAAGATTTTTTACTCCAAAGAATGCAAAAGAGAAGCAAGTTCAATATTATGTCTTCTCCCTTGGATGGAAAAACCAGAACAGCTGATGTCCAGCGCCTTGCTCACTTGTTCAGTTACTTGGCCATTACTATCCCCTGACCAGGAGACTCCCTTTCTCACTCATATACCCATTCTCAGATGTGGTCTTGTGTTTCCTTAACCACAGGAATGCAGAGGGGGAGGAGCACCTGCGCAAGAGAGCCCTGCAGCTGCCATTCATCTTCACCACAGGGGAAGCCATCCTGTATGACAGCAG